TGTAGACCAGGCTGGTCTCAAACTCACAGATTTGCCTGCCTCTGCCTCCAGAGTGTTATGATTAAACACCTGTACCACCACACCTCTGGCTTAAGTAGAAGTTTATTTAACAAATCAATACATACATCCCAGAGAGAAATAGAAACGGATTGTCCCAAGGCAGGAGATCAGCAACACAGTGGCTTCCATGTTTGGGATTTTAAAGAAGTTTTTATGAATATTTATGAGGTGCGTATTTTATACATAACTGGTGTAAGATGAACCTTTTCCCTCCCAACCCAGGGTAGATGGAATTTTTCTTATATAGTATTTCTCCCCATGATCTTTTCGAAAAACTCACAAGAGGAGAATGCAGACCTTTGTTAGTACATATCTGTGGTTGGTGGGAGAGTGCCCCAGTGCCTTAGTTCCTGATAGAATGGCAACAACATATCTGCAGCTTCAAGGCCATTTATCCACAAAGGAGCGTTCAGCCTCCAAGATGGAGCAGTAGCTTTCTCAGTGACCTCAGAGCTGTCTTCTTTTTGAGATGCTCAAGGTCCCGGGAGTGAGTTCATAGCTGTCAATTAGTTAACAAATATTGAGGCTGTAAGAGGAAGCTGGGATCAGAGTTTCACAGTATACAAGCTGGTATATAGTGTTAATCACAACACTGGGAGGCAGAGGCAGGCAGATCTGTGTGTGACCAGTCTGGTCTACACAGTGAGTTCCAGGCTGGCTGCACAAACAACAAGTAGAACTTAGCCTGTCTGAAGGATGGCCTTCCAGCTCCGCCACTCATGTCTTTTTTCTTCCTAAAAATCTCCCCTGTCTTCTCCAACCTAAACACTAGTTTTATTTTTTTCTTATTGATAGTTTTACTTTTGCAGTATAATTATACTCATATAGTACACAACTTTTTTAGATTGGCTTCTTTCCACTTAGTGGCCATTAAGTTTTCTTTCTGTACCTTTATCAGATTTTATTTCATTTTTTTTTTTTTTTTTTTTTTTTTTTTTGAGATAGGGTTTCTCTGTATAGCCTTAGCTGTCCTGAAACTCACTTTGTAGACCAGGCTGGCTTTGAATTCACAGAGATCCACCTGTCTCTGCCTCCCGAGGGCTAGGACTAAAGGTGCTCGCCACCACCGCCTGGTCAGATTTTTTTCTTTTTCTTTTCCTAAGACAAAGTCTCTTCGTGTACCCTGGCTGGGCTGTTACTCATTATGTAGACCAGGCTGGCCTGGAACTTAAATAGATCTGACTGCTTCTGCCTCCCAAGTGCTGGGGTTAAAGCTGAGTGCCACCATGTCCAGTCCACCATGTCTTTTTATGTTTAATACAGCACATTTCTCTTTAGCATTCAGTATTCCCACAGTGGAAGAACACTTTGAAGGGCTAAAGAGATGGCTTGGCAGGTAAGAACTTTTGCTGAGCAAACATGAGGACTGACTTGAGGGGTTTTGTTGATGTTTTGGTTTATTTATTTATTTGGTGGTGGTGGTGGTTTTGTTTTGTTTTTGTTTTTTTCTACACAAGATTTTTCTGTATACCCTCAGCTGGCCTGGAACTTGCTTCATAGATCAGGCTGGTCTTAAACTCACCGAGATCTGCCTGTCTATGCTTCCCCAGTGCTAGGATTAAGGGCATGTGCCACCACTGTTCCTATGAGACTTGAATTTCTATCCCAGCACACATATAAAAAGCCAAGAGTTATCACATGTTCCTGCAAACCCAGTTGTTGGTGACTAGACTAGCTCTGGGTTCATAAGAGACCCTGTCTCAAAAGGAGTAAGGTGGGGAGAGAGAGATCAGAACACCAATATCCTCTTCTGGGCTCCATACCTGTCCTGCATATCTGTTCACACATGCATATGTATATACTACACACACACACACACACACACATATTCACACCATCCATACCAACACCCACACCTACACCCCCACACCCAATGAATACATTTTCAAAAAAGAACATCTTGATTACTTCCTCATTTTGGCAGTTATGAATAAAGCTGTTATAAACATCCATGTGCATGTTTTTATGTGTACATAAATTTAAAACTCATTTGCATAATTACAGAGGCAAGTGACTGTGTTTCACACAGTGACACTTCATTTTGTTTCTTGAAAAGTGAATAAATTGGTTTGCATTTTTATCAGTAAAAATGGGAGTTCCCACTCTTCCACACCCTTCCCAGTCTTACTAGTTTGGAGGTCTGACCAAATAATTGTGCAGTGATATCTCATTGTTGTGTCTATTAATTCATTTATTTATTTTAGTACTGACAGTTGAACCCAGTACTAAGCACTTGCTCCATAACTGAGTTACATCCCCAGTTATTTTCCTTCCTTCCTTTTCTTCCTCCCTCTTGTCATTCTTTCTCTTTTTGGATATAGGGTCTCATAGAGTCCAGACTCCTATCGAACTTGATATATTCAAAGATGACCATGAAATCCTGCTCTTCCTTCCTCTGTCACCTGAGTGTGGTATAGGCATGTGCCATCATGCCTACTTATATGGTGTTAGGGTTTGAACTTAGGGCTTTATCCATGCTAGGCAAGCATTCTACCAGCTTAGCTATATCCCAGTCCTTGACCTTAACCTTTTGATGCTCCTGCCTCAGCCTCCAGAGTAGCTGAATTTGCCTTCTTATTTGTTCATTCATTTTACATGAGTAGTAGAAACTGAACTCAGGTCATCTGGAAAAGCAATACGTACTCTTAACTGCTGAGCCATCTCTCCAGCCCATATTAATGGCTACTCTTGCTTGGGACTACCATTCATACCTCTCAGTTCTATCTGCACACACTGGAACTGGCCAGCCTGGATTCAGTCTCAATTTGAAACAGAGCCCTTCATGGTCATGTGCCACCTGCTCTCCCTGTATCACAGGTTCTTCTCTGTCCCCTACATAATCATACAATAATACTACCCATAGAGCTGAAAAACTTACATATTGTGTAGACAGAGGCCAGAGGATTCTATCAGGTGCAAGGACAGATTGTTCTACATAGCAGGTTGTGAACCAGCTATGGTTATGTAGTAATACTCTATGTCAAGAAATAAAGACCAGATGACCAAACAAATTATATATTTACTATTTAAGGAGCAGGACATGACATAAGTAAATAATAATTGCCACCTTATATTGTTACAAGATAGACATTTGTGTGGTACATGCCTTTAATCCCAGCACTTGGGAGGCAGAGGCTGGAGGATCTCAGTGAGTTCAAGGCCAGCCTGGTCTACAAAGCAAGTTCCAGGATAGCCAGTACTGTTACACTAGAAACCCTGTCTTGAAAAAACCAAATAAATAAATGAGTGAATTAATAAATAAAAAAATAAAAATCAATAATAAAGTGACCTTTTTGCCTTGGACTCCTTCCCCTCATCTCAGCCCTCATCTGTTCCTCAGAGAGAGTAAGGCCTGCCATGCGGAGTCAATGAATTCAGTCCCATTTCCATGTTGAGGCAGGACCAGCTCCCCCTCCCCCAGGCTCAGCAAGGTATCTCTCCATAGGAAATGAGCTCCAGAAACCAGTTCAGGCACTAGGGATAGCTCCTAATCCCACTGCCAGTGGCCCTACAAACTGCCCAAGCCTCCACTGTCACCTGCATTCGGGAGCCTAGTTCAATCCTATGCAGGTTCCCCAGGAATCAGTCCCAAGCCAATCAGCTCCCACTAGTTTGAGTCGGTTGTTTCAGCCGGCTTCCCCATCATGGTCTTGACCACTTTGCTCATATTTGCTTGCTTTCTTATACAACTCAGGACTACCTGCCCAGGAGTGGCACCACCCACAGTGAACTGAGCCTCCCCCCATCAATTATTAATCAAGAAAATATCTGACCCCCCCTCCAGAGGCTGCCTACATGCCAATCTGATAGAGGCTTTTTTTTTTTTTTTTTTTTAATTGAAGTCCTTCCCAAATGGACCTGGCTTGTGTCAAATTGACAGAAACAACTAGGACAAAGATGTTTATCATTGGAGACTAACTCAAGCTATTTTTTCTTATCAATGCATTTGTAGACTATTAAAGCAATCATTTAAATTCGCAGACACTAATTCTTTTGAACAAAACACTTAAAACAGCATTTACTGAGCTCTTGCTCAGTGTCTGGAAAATCTACAGGAGAGTTATGAGGTAAATTAGCAATGGCAAAATCCACTCAGTATCATGAAAAAAAATTTGTACTTGAGATTATACGAGTAGCATAAAACAATACTAGTAATTTGGAAATTTAGTATCTGGATAGTTTAGGCTCACAGGTTTCAAGGACATTCTCAAATGTTTTCTCCAGCACAACCTGAAGCTGTCGATCAGTTTCAGAGTCTTGGATGCTCTGCTATTCACTATCATAGGTTTGAATGAGTCCTACCCATCATTAAAGAGCCGACCCCAGCCAGGCTCCAACCAAGTGTCTATGCTAAAGATGACGCAATTTCTTGCCCCTCCTCTTGGCGCTGACCGGTCCCTCACTTATCCAGCTATTAGCTCCAGTCTCAATAGTATATACTCCTCTAAACTGGGCGGATCTTGAAGGTAAAGCCTTGGGGGCTCTGTCATCCTTAGAGGCGGTGACCCACAATTTCAAGTTTTATCATAGAAGTAGAAATTCTGCTCGTAAATGTATGGGGCTGCTTCTTTTAACTTCGGGCCTATTTCTCCCCATTTTCTGCAATCTGGTTTATCCCGTGGGTGGAGGAAATCACGTTGGATGGCTGAAAATGGAATGGCGTTAGCGTGAGGTCATGCCATTCTACCACAGTGCCTAAGGCTATCTCGTGATGATTTCCATCTTCGTTTCACCGTGGGAAAGCAAAGACGGAGCCTCAAGTCGCGCTCGAGTCGGGGAAGAAAGGAGATCAAAGTCTGTATGTAAATTGTCACGGACCGTTGGACACCTGCGCTCCAAGCGGAGAGCGCCCACTGAGAGCGAAAGCGAGGCGCGCCAGCTCGGCCGCTGTCCCCGGAGTACGGGGCGGGACTTCCGGGATCCATTTGCCTGAGTGGCAGGGGGACCGGAAGTGGAGGCGCTGCTGCTTGGTGCTGGGGCCCGAGGAGGGGACGCGCGCCGGAACGGGGTCGCCGGGACCTAGGGAGCGACAGACGCGCAACACGCCGACGCCGCAGCCGCTGGGGGCCCGCACGGACCCTCTGCCTCTGTGAGTGCATCGCGGGGACCGCGGAGCTGGGGCTTCGGCGTCGCGGGTGGGGCGCGCGAGGGAGATGGTATTGTGAGGCCCGGCTCCCCTCCCCCACACTGCCCCTCCCCCGCCGCGCCCCGCAGGCCCTCGGGGGCCCGGCGCGGTCTCCTGCCCTCTGGCGCCCCGGTGCCGCCCTGGCTGGCGAGTGAGTGGCCGGCGGGTCCCCTGGGCTGGCCTCCTGTCGCCTGCCTCCTACCTCAGCTGTTGCCTTTTCCCTCCATCTCCGGGGTGGGACCACTAGGCCCAAGCCTGTGATTCGGTTGTGCCTTTTTTTTTTTTTTAACGGATCACGCTCTTTTCCCTTTTCGTCGACAACTGTCTCCTCATTAGAAACTTCTCTGTTGCCTTCGTTAAAACATCCCAAAGACCTGTGTCAGGACTCTGAAAGGCTATCCTTAAGAGTCACCCACTTCCTTCGGCGACGAGGCCGAGACATTGGTGATTTGGCCGATGGCCTACCAGCTAGGTAAATCTTGTCAATGGATAGGTTTCTTGGCGGTGTGATTTCCCCTCCCCGTGGACCATGTCCGTTTAGCGGGTCAGAGCCTGTGGTCTACAGGTTTGATTGACTCGTGCAGAGTGACTCATTACTCTGCTTTCCATAGCTCCCAGGCCGACGATGCCTTTCATCATTTATATACGGACCTTAGAAAAATCCAAAGCTTTAAAGCTTTGGCGTCTTTGACGAGCGTGGCTATGGACAAAGGAAGGAGCACCTGGACGCTAGGAGCAAATTCTAGGGCAGCATTTTCTACAGCTTTAAGTTGGGTGGAGTGAGTGGGCCAGAGGGAAAAGATGTGGAGAAAGAGGAAAGAGAAAATACAGGCTTCTCTTTGCCTTGGATGGGCCTTGTGTCTGTCTTTAGGTTCCTTCCCTGGGCACATTGTTCTGACTTTAAAGGTTGCCTCCTTGTGGGATAGTAGGAAAGGAAATCATTGTGCATTCATTTGTTGGCATGGACACTTGATGATAAATTATGGATGTGCTGGATCCTGGGGCCGCCCACCGGAGACTGAGGAAGGGTATTCTGATGAGGCTTGCTTTTCTCTTCAGAATAACCCTGCTGATGCTCTGAAGCAAAATGAAAAGCCTCGGGCCTTAAAGGAAGTACTCTAAATCTTTTCATTCTCATTTAAAAGGTCTCTTGTTAGTTTCTTGGTTCACACATACAGTCCAAGTTGAGCTTGAGAATTTGTAATTGTTGGAATTGGCTTTCACACCAAGCATGTAGGAAATCTGATGCTGTGTCGTGGTCTAAGTTAAGTGGAAAAAGTAGAAAGTTTAGGATTGCTTCCTCTTCCCAGGGAATTTTGGGAGGACAACTAAGTTCTCTGCAAAATAGTTTTTCATGGAAATTTACAAAATTACCAACCTTTTACTTCCCTGATGTTTGCTGGGTAAAGAGATTATTATGAATCAATAAGGTGAGATGGGAGGTGTTGGATTTTCATTTATTGTACTACTAGGAAGTGGAGTTACAGACAGCTGTGAGCTGCCCTGTGGTTGCTGGGAATCAAATCTCTAGAAGAGCAGTCAGTGCTCTTAACCGATGAGCCATTTCTCCAGGCCCCTACCACCTCTCTTTTGTTTGTTCTTTGAGACAGGGTTTCTCTGTGTAACTCTGGCTGTCTTGGAACTAGCTCTGTACACCAAGCCAGCCTCCTGCTCACTGAAATCTGCCTCTGCCTCCCAAGCAAGGTGTTCACTGCTCTTCTGAGGGTGGCTGTGGTAGGAAATTAATTTTCTTATGCTTGGTTCAGGAACCCTTGCAATTCAGACATTTTTGCAAATTCCATAAGTACTCTTTGGATGACACCTAGTTCATTCTTCATCCATTTTAAATTTTTCTGTATTTTTTAAATCTTTATTTTCACGTGTATGAATATGTTGCCTACATGTATGTACGTATGTGCATCACATGTATGCAATGTCAACAGGCCAGAAGAAGGTGCCAGATCCCTTGAACCTGAAGTCATAGATGATTGTGACTCTCCGTGTGGGTGCTGAGAGTTGAACCCTGGTTTTCTGCAAGAGCAGTACTCTCACGCACAGAGTCATCTGTTCCCCTAGATTTTCTGTATTTAAGAGGTGGTGTGTGTGTGATGTATGTGTTGGAGGGGATACATACGTGCCACAGAAAGCACAAGAGTGAGTGGAGAGGCCAGGGAACAACTTTGTGGAGTTGAGGGATGAAATTCAGGTCATTAGATTAAATTCAGGGCAAATGCTTTACCAGCTTACAGCTTGATTATTGAACACAACAGTTTATATTATCTGACTTCCAAATGCCTAAACTTCGGGATTTTGAGACAGATTTTTCTCTGTGTGGCCCTGTCAGTTCTGGAACTGCTCTGTAGACCAGGCTGGCCTCAAACTCAGAGATCCACCTGCTTCTGCTGAAATTAAAAGTGCTTGCCACCATGCCTGGCTTGGCTAGACCTCTTGATTGTTCTTTCTAGCCTGGAATATAAGGAGGAGATGGCAAGAGTTTATGGCTCAGTTTTCCATTTCTGGGTTATAAAAATGTTACCAAACTGCAGGCTTCTGTGGAACAGTGGAAGTTACTTTGTATTGAAAGATGTTTGATTTGGCAAAACAATACAGGATCCAAGTGTCTGGAGGCACAAAGTAATTGCCATCAGGTACTCTGTCTTTGTTTCCATCCATGTTGAAGTTTGGAATGGTTTCCAGTCTTTCCAGTTACCTTAGGCAGGCAGATTTCTTCCTCAGTTTCTCCTTCCATGCCCCTTCATTTTTCCTTAGGACTTATGACTGAGTATTGCACACTTGTAATCTCAGTATCCGGAAGGCTGGCACAGGTACTGCACCAAGTCCAGTCAGCTAGGGCTCCACAGGGAGACCTTCAAACTGAATCTTAAGATTTGGTGTTCAGATAGAAGTGCTTTGCTCGGTGTTTTCAGTGGTAATAATTAAAAAAAAACTAAGTGAAACAGCTAGGTAAAGTAAAATTTATCTGCAACCTATTTCTGTATAAAACAGCATACTTCATTCAAGAATAATGGGTTGAATGCCAGATAGATGGCTTGTTCAGAGTGCTTGCTACCAAGGCTAACCATCTGAGTTTTGACTCCAGGACCCCTGTGATTTAAGAATAGACCTGACTTCCTCAAGCTGTTCTCTTATTTGCCCCCCCCCCACCAATTAAATGTGATTTTTATTTTTTTTTCTTTTTTGACTTTTTAAGACAGGGTTTCTCTGTGTATCGTTGGCTGTCCTTGAACTCACTCTACACCAGGCTGGCATTGAACTCATGGAGATCTGTGCCTGCCTTTGCCTCCCAAGCCCTGGGTGTGCCACCACTGCCTGGCTAAATGTGATTTTTAAGAAAAATTTAAAAGTAGTGATGGGCCTTGGTTTGCTTAACAGGAATAGATTAAGGCTGGAACTATAGCTCAGTGGTAGAATGCTCATCCAACATGTGAGGTTCTGGGTTCAACCCCCAATGCCACAAAATGGAACAAGCCCACCATCTCACAAACAGCAATAATAAGTTGAACATTCCTAATTCAGAGATCTGTAGTGCTCCAGATATGGATTTTATTTCTTTTGAGAAAATCACATGGTACCACAAGCGGTAAATCCCATATCTGACTTCAACTAATGGATCACAGTGAACCTGTAGGCACACTAGCAGTATTGTATAGTTATCTTCATGCTGTCTGTAACGTGTACCTGTAATATAAGTGAACCTAGAACCTGGTGTGTAGATATAGATTGCATTCTCATGTGCATGCAAATGCCGGCCCCCAAATGCAATTCTGAATGTCTCAGAGGTCTATGACCTGTATATGTATAAGACTTCTGTCTCAAATCCTTTCCTATTTAACAGTTTTGAAGGAGAATAGATTCCTTGATATATTTGACCTTTAATTTAGTTTTCTTTTTTTTTTTTTGTAGTTTCTTTTTTTGTTTGTTTTTTGAGACATGGTCTCTCCAGGTAGCCCTGGATATCCTGGAACAGTCTGTGTAGACTAAGCTGTCCTCCTCGAACTCACAGATTTGCTTGCCTCAATTGCTGGAAGTTCTTTTGGTTTGTTTGTTTTATTATGTATAGTGTTCTGTCTGCATGTATCCCTGTAGGCCAGAAGAGGGCACCAGATCTCACTCCAGATAGTTGTGAGCCACCATTGTGGTTCCTGGGAATTGAACTCAGGATCCCTGGAAGAGCAGCCAATACTTTTAACCTCTGAGCCATCTCTCCATCCTTTGTGTTTGTTCTTTTGGGACAGGATCTCACTAACTTGGCAGCCTGGAACTCAGTATGTAAACCTGGTGGCCCCAGATTCAGAGATCCCTTCCTTCTACCTTCCAAATGCTAGAAGTCTTTTGTCTTAACTTTTGTTTTTGAGGCCTTGAACCCATTATGAGCTACAGTTGACCTTGAATTTCTGATCTCCCTTTTCCTGAGGATTATGGGTGTGCGCCTGGTTTGATATGATTTAGTATGGTGCTAAGAATTAAACTAGGACTTTATGTATGGCTAGATAGGCATGCTACTAACCAGGCTTTATCTGTAGCACCTAGTTTTGTCTTTATGTGTTTCTGGTTGTGTAGTACATGTGGAGGTCAGACATCAAATTTTGGATGTTCCTTAGTTAATATTCACCACCACCACTACCCCTTTTTGAGACAGTTTCAATATGTAACCCTGGCTGGCCTGGAGCTTGCAGTGTAGACCAGGCTGTCCTCAAACTCAGAGGTATACTTGCCTCTGTCACCTGAATTCCGAGATTAGAGGCATGTGTGTCATCATAGCTGGAGTGTTGTTACTGTACACAAATTTTAGGAGACGATATGTGGTCTCTTGCTAACCTACATTTCCAAATTTGGCTAAGCTGGCCATTTTACTGGCTGTGAGCCCAGTATCTTCCTGTCTCCACCTCCCCAGAGCTAGGATTTTAGCATATATTGCCACACCTGGTGCGTGCTCTCTCTCTCTCTCTCTCCCCCCCCACCCTTTCTCTCTCCCCTCTCCTTCTCCCTCTTTTCTCCCAAGAGAGGGTTTTCCTGTGTAACAGCCCTGGCAGTCCTGGAACTCACTCTGTAGACCAGGATAGCCTCGAATTTACAGAGATCCACTTGCCTCTGACTCCCAAGTGCTGGGATTAAAGGTATGTGCCTCTACCACCTGGTCCTGGCTCTCCTTTTTTAACAACAATTCTGTAGATTGAATTTGAGCACCTCCATTCTTCCCGGTCTTGTCTTATTAGTACTATTGTTTGATGCATTAGTAGCTAGTAGATTCTAATTGTTGCTGTAGTCCTGTTTAGTTAAAAGTATTTTATGTATATGGGTGTTTTACTTGCATATATATCTGTGTATGTTGTTCATACTAGTGCCCAAGAAGGCTAGAAATTATTTTGTTTATTTATTTTTATTGAGACAAGCTCTCTCTACATCTCTACGTAGCCTTGGCTGTCCTGAAACTCAGGGTTAGCCTAAAACTCATCTTGATCTACTTGCCTCTGCCTCCAGAGTGTTGAAATTAAAGGCTTGTGCCTGACTCTAAATTTTTTTAAGCATTCATGTGTGTGTGTGTGTGTGTGTGTGTGTGTGTGTGTGTGTGTGTGTGTGTGTAGGCACACATGTGTGAATCAGAACAGTTTTACAGAGTTGGTTCTCTCTTTCTACCATGTGAATTTTAGACTTGTATTTCAAGTTGCCAGACTTTAATGACAAGTGCTTTTACTCTTTAAGCTGTTTGACTGAGTCCTGTAGTCATTTTTTGTCTGTTTGTATTTGTTTGTATTCCATTTGCGTGGGGTTGCCTGTGGAAGCTAGCAGAGATTGTCGTATCCATTGGTGTTGGAATTATTCTACATGGGTGTTAGAATTCAAACTCAAGTCCTCTGCAAGAACAACAAGTGTTCTTAACCACTGAGCCAACTCTCCAGCTCACCCCATAGTCATTCTTATTGTGTAATTCTAACAGCTGTAATGTAGAGTTCATTGTTCTATAAGTGTCTAATTTGGTGTTTGCTAACCTATGATCATGAAAACTAACATAGGATCAGTGTATTGGGTAAAGTGTGTATTTGGAGCAGAGTTTGTACCTTTGGTGGGGGGAGTGAGATGATTTTTCCATGTGGCTCTGGCTGTCTGTCCTGGAACTAACTCTGTAGCTCAGGCTGCCCTCAAACTCACAGAGATCTGTCTACCTCTGTCTCCAGAGTGCTAGAATTAAAGGTGTGTGCCACCACTGCCCAGTGAGTTTGTTCATTTAACCTTAGTCATAGAGCAGAGAGAGAAGTGATGGGGTTCATGTTTTAGATGTGATGGTTCCTTTATAAGTGATATGGAAATGTCTGAAGTTCAGTGATAATATTTTGGAGACTTAAATAATCATGTCTTAGAATTCATCTCTGCTGAAAATCAACCCTGCTTTATAGTTCGTAGGCAAAACCAATGATAGAATAAATGTTGTTTACCTGACAGTATGGGGCTGGAAAGATGACTCAGTAGTTAAGAACATTGGCTGCTTTTCCAGAAGACCCAATTCAATTGCCATCATCCACATGACACTTAACAATCTCTTATAACGGCAATTCCAGGGTATCTCACTCCCCTTTTCCAGCTTTTTTGGGCACTACACACATTTGATACACAAACATGCATACATCCATACATAAAAAAAAAAACAAATCTTTTTAAAAATAAAGCAAGATAGCTGGGCATTGGTGTCGCATGCCTTTAATCCCAGCACTTGGGAGACAGAGGCAGGTGGATCTGTGAGTTTGAGGCCAATGCTAGTTCCAGGACAGGCTCCAAAGCAATACAGAGAAACTCTGTCTCAAAAAAAAAAAAAAAATAAATAAATAAAAATAAAAATAAAGCAAGGTGGTGGTGCATACATTTAATCCCAGAACTTGAGAGGCAGGGGCAATGGAATCTGTTGAGTTTGAGGCCAGCCTGGGATAGCTAGAGCTGCATGGTGAGACCATCTCAAAGAAACCTGACAGTATTATTTTAATGTGCTTGTTAATAAATGAAGCATGATAGACATTTCTCCTCAGGTGTAGAATGAGCCAAGGAGACTCGAACCCAGCAGCTATCCCACATGCAGCGGAAGATATTCAAGGAGATGACAGGTGGATGTCTCAGGTAAAGAGTGCTGCTGCACATGGATTACTTGTGTGGATGGATCACTTTGTTTTGTGTGTCTATGCACAAGCTAGCATGTGTCTGCATGCATGTGATGGATAGAAGAGATCTGGTGTTTTCCTCAATTGGTTATTCTCCACCTTTTTGAGCCAGTGTCTTTCACTGAGCCTGGAGCTCACTAATTTGGCATGACTAGCTAGTTGGTCAGGGATCCTCCTATCTCCCTTTCCCCAGTGTCTGGGTTTGTTTGTTTGTTTGTTTGTTTTTTCTTAGTGTGGTTTCATAAAAGAACATTCCAACTTGTAAATGGTTGCTGAAATACTTAAGGGTCATGGGTAGTAGAGAGATGGCTCAGAAGTTAAGAACATTTACTACATAATTATGAGGCACAGAGTTCAGATCCAGCACCCATGTTGGGAGGTTCACAAAACACCTGACTCGAGCTTCAAGGGATACAATGCCCGCTTGTGGGCTTCCTCAGTCACTTACATGCATGTGCAAACCTAAGTAAAGTAAAATTTTCAAAAAAATTAAAAGAATGGTTTAGTTCACACTTATTTTCCTCTCATACTTGGGAGGTAGAGGCAGACGGATACAGGAATTCAAGGCTAGTCTGGAGTTTTCGAGACAGTTTTTTTTTTTTTTTTTTTTTTTTTTTTTTAAAGCTGTGGCATACACATTACCAACACTCAGGCAGAGGCAGGTGGATCTCTTGAGTTTGAGGCCACTTTGGTCTATATGTTGAGTTATTGGCTGTTTAGTTATAGACTGTATAGTGAGACTTTCTCTCAAAAACAACAGAAATTTAAATAGTTTAACAAGTAAGTATCTTGACAGAAATAAAAACAAATCTTGAAAATATCATAATAGGGTTGCATCAGTGTGGTTGCATAGGTTTATAATTCAGCACAAAGACACAGCAGGGATGGTCTATGTAGACACACACGGCCAGCCTGATCTACATAACAAGTGAGACCCTGTCCTGAAAGGTTTTTTTCTTTGTTTTAATGTGTGTGTGTGTGTGTGTGTGTGTGTGTGTGTGTGTGTGTGTGTTTACATCTGTGTGTGTTTCTGTGGGTCACAGGGCAGCTTACAAGAGTTGGTTCTCTTCATCTACCATTTTGAGTATTTCAAACAGGTTTACCTGTAAGAGCCTTTACCTACTACTGAGTCATCTTGATGGCTCCTAAAAAGCCTCCTTTTTTTATTTTTTTCCTAATTTAAGGAAAAGGTAGGTGTTGTTTTGTTTTGCTTAATTATATGAAGTATTTTGATATTCTGGATTTGGTAGAATTGTGATTTTTCTCGAATATAAACCTAATAAAATAATCAGTATGGCAAGGGTAGAAATTAATTTCCAATTAACTACAGGAAAAAAAAAGAATTAAGTTTTAGGATACACTAAAAAGAATGGATGGCTTGGTTGGTTTGCTTGCTTGTTTATTTGTTTTATAATGTTGGGGGTTGAACTCTGGGTCTTGCCCATGAAGACTGTTTCACAGTACCTGGTTGGACAGCTGTTCTTTTTTAGGTCAACAAACTGCAAAAAGAAAGAAATACCAATTTCTTATTTTTCTTTCTTTTATAAACCAGCATAATAGGTTTGTTTTGGATTGTAAAGACAAAGAGCCGGACGTGCTGTTTGTGGGAGACTCTATGGTACAGTTGATGCAGCAGTATGAGGTAAATTGGAGGGTGTTCTTGGCTCCTAGTATATATCCACTGATAACTTACAGACTTTCATTCTGAGGATTCAGAGATTCTCTAGTGCTGTGTACAAAGGGAAGAATTCTACCTAGTGGGGTTATTGGTGTAGTGTTAATTGTAACTAAACTCCCATTTTTGCTCTAGACTTCCAAGAAACTTGATGTTTTCTGTATTTGTTGGTGGTGATGTCTGATTCTTACTTCTATTTGCTATATGCTATTTTCATAATTTTTACTTACTTGTGTTCTACCACTTTCTGACTCGTGTGTGTGTGTGTGTGTGTGTGTGTGTGGTTTTTTGAGAACTGGTTTCTTTGTTTAGCTTTATTTCTTTTTGGTTCCAACACTGTTAAATTTCTTCACCTTCTTTTTTTTTTTTTAAGAAATAGTTGAATTCATGAAAAATGTTTATTGAGCTGACAGCTTGATTTAGGGTTTTGATATCTCAGTGGGCATTAGAATGTGCTGTGCAGGTTCTTGAGTGCTACTCTTGCTACATTAAGGGAGGCCTCTGAGGAGCAGATGGGAGGTGGGATGTGGGCAAAGGGGAAGAGCAGGAGGAAAGAAGGGAGGGGGAGCTGGGATTGGGATGTAAAAAATAAATTATGAATGAATGAATGGATTAAAAAAAAAAAAACTTCGTCACTGCCAGCTGGTGGTGACACATGCCTTTAATCCCAGCACTGGTGAGGGGGCGGGGGCAGAGGCCAGTGGATCTCTGTGAGTTTGAGACCAGCCTGGTCTACAAAGGGAGTTCCAGGATAGCCAGTGTTACATACAGAGAAACCTTGTCTGGGGGGAGGCGTGGTGAGGGGGTGATGTTAGTTTTAGATGTGTTAAATCATGTTGCAGTTGAAGGACTTTTATTTCCAGTGATTTTTAGTATAATTGAGTTAAGTTTTTTGTCTTTAGATATGGCGAGAGCTGTTTTCCCCACTCCATGCACTTAATTTTGGAATTGGGGGAGATACAACACGACATGTTTTATGGAGACTAAAGAATGGAGAACTGGAGAACATTAAGCCTAAGGTGATAAAACATACTTTTAAGAGTATGATTAATTTTGAGTCTTTCAAATACAGTTGTATAGTTGTTTGAAGTAGTGAAAAATCGCTTCTTTAAAGGCCTGTTTCATGCTTGCTGTTTGCTTCATACTTGTTTACAGGAAACATCACTGTTTAGGAACATACTGCTGCACGGACTTAAAAAGAACCCAGTCTGTTTTTTTTTGTTGGGTTGTATTGGGATTGTTATGACGAGTTCGTTGTAGGCATCGATGTGATGCTCAGTAGGCTTGTGGGATGTGTGGGCCTGGGCAATACAGTTGGGAGCAGAGCTTTGATTCCAGGAAATGCTGAGCATATAAACAAATATATAGCCAGTTTTCTGAGTTCTTTTGAAAAAAATGTTTGGGACAAATGTGATCAAATGAATCTGTAATACCATGTCACATTACATTATAAACATCTGCAGTTGGTGCACTGCATATAATTTTTTTCAACCCCTAAAGAGAAAGAAAAGAAGGAACAAAGGGGAGTCACTAATGAAAGTTGCTTTCACCAGGCATGGTGGTATACACTTTTAAATATATGCAGAGAAAACATTGTTAAACCTACACCCAGCCTCCTTTCTTGAGAGCACCTGGGTCCTGACAGTCAGTTTATAGTCTTTGCACTCCTGGTGCTCCTGCCACTGCATAGTGTATTTCTAACCAGGGAAAAGTCTTTACTGTGATAAGAATCAGTTCCTTAAATCCCACTTCACTATCTATTTGCCAGGAATGTTTTCATTTATATTCAGTTAAATTCATTGTTCTTTTCTGTGTAGTTAATGAATTGTGAGATTCATTCTTGTTTCTTCCTGGTTTAATTTTGGCACTTAAATATTAATTTATACATTTTATCTTGAAGTATAATATTAGGCATAAGTCAATGTTGGTGGGTTTTTTTTTTTTACATCTTTATTACTTTTTTATTTATTTTGCTGTGTCTTCACATGCACACGTGAGTGAACATGCTGTAGCACTGTGATGGCCAGAAGACAATTTATGGGGGTCAATTGCATCTTTGCACCATGTGAGTCCTAGTGGCCTCATGGAAACAGCTATTCTGATTTTCTGATTTTTTTTTTAAATAAGCTTTTCATTGAAATGTTTTATGTTTTTTTATTCCATGGTCTTTATCTTCTCCCCTCCTTTTTTTTCCCCCTGGTTATAGGTCATTGTTGTCTGGGTAGGAACAAACAACCATGAAAACACAGCAGAAGAAGTGGCAGGTGGAATTGAGGCTATTGTACAACTTATAAATACAAGGCAGCCACAGGCCAAAATCATTGTACTGGTAAGTAGTCTTTCTGGGTGGAGATTTTTTATGTCTTTAGATCCACTGAGAATTCTTTGTTAAAATGGTGTCTCATCAATACAGAGTCTCTAAGTGGAAGCAGCTTCTGATAGTTGTTTATAAGGATGGTTAGGAGGAAAGGTCATGGAGGGATGTATTTACTATTACTATTAGTTTGGGTTTTATTTTGTAGGTGCTATGAGTTTGAGAATAGCCTGGTCTATAAGAGCTAGTTTCAGAAAGGGCTCCAAAGATACACAAGCAAACCCTGTCTTGAAAAACTAAACTAAACTAATAGTAGTAGTAGTAGTAATTTTTTTTTTTAATTTTATGTATACCAGTGTTTTGCCTGCATGTATGTCTGTGTGAGGATGTTGGATCCCCAGAGTAGGAGTTATAGACAATTTTGAGCTTCCATGTGGATGCTGGGAATGAACAATCAGTGCTCTTAACCACTGAACCATCTCTCCAGCCCCTTAACTCCTACTCATTATGCCCCAACTGTGAGGATTACAGGTGTGTGCCATCATTCCTAGTTCTTGAGTTTGCGGTAAACAATAACAAGCTCATCTTTAGGACTAACTTCATCATTTGAAATGTCTTAGCATTGCAAGTATAGAGGGAGATGTAACAAATTGGGAATTATCTATGGCTTTTGAGAAACTATAAAATCATAAGTACATTGGCAACCAAAGCCCCAGCATGTTACCAAAAGAACTAGAGTAAATATGTATATGAGTACGCTTTGAAAATATGTTTGTTTTTGTAAGGTAGATTTCACCATAAGGCTGGGCAGGGGTGACACACACCTTTATTTAGTCCTAGCACTAGGGAAGTAAAGGCAAGTGCATCTCTGAAATTGATACCAGCCTGGTCTGCAGAACTGAGCAGCTTCAGGACAACCAGGACTACACAGAGATCCCTGTCTTGAAAAAACTAAAACCAAAACAAATAACTTACAGTAACAGCCCTAGCGGTCTTGGAACTAGCTCTGTGGACCAAGCTAGCCTCAAACTCACAGAAATCGGCCTGTCTCTGGTTCCCTAGTGCTGGGATTAAAGGGTGCACCACTACCACCTGGCCTTGTTTTTTTTGAGACAGGGTTTCTCTGTAGCTTTGGAGCCTATCCTGGAACTCCCTCTGTAGACCAGTTTGGTGTCGAATTCACAGAGATCTATCTGCCTCTGCCTCCCCAGTGCTGGGACTAAAAGTGTATGCCACCACCGCCTGGCTAATCAGTTCTTGAAATAAAACATCTTACATACCCTGTAGGAAAAATTGGGGACAAAAATTTTTACCTGAATAGCAGTCAGGTTGCCTTGTGTCTGGCAGTACTTCTGTAATGGACCCAGTTATCTATTGAAGACTTCTTTTAGTTTGCATTGATTAAATCTTGCTCTTGATGTGTAATAATTCTCTTTATCATAGTAGGAACACAGATATTGATTTATCTGAAAATTGTATTAGATCATTAGTATGCAAGTTAAAATTAATTTAGGATACATTTTTCTTACCAGGTATGTAATTCATGTGTTATATTAAGATAGCTTTGATCCCAATTCTCTTTCTTATAATATAGTATAAATTTCTCTGGTATTGATAGTTGTGTCTAAGCTACATTCTCCTGACAAGGTATATGGAGAAAGAATTGAAAGGAGAACACATTGGCTTTGACAGAACCAGTGGAGATATTTTAGTAATTGGGATGAATAACATTAAGTTCCTAAGCAATAGTAATGTATATTATCATGGTGAATAAAAAGAAGACGGAGGCTACAGATGTGTCTCAGTTGATGTAGAGCTTGCTGGACATGCAGTGAAGCTCTAGGTTCCATTCCTGGTACCACATAAACCAATGTGATGGTATATGCCTATAATCCTTAGCCATGAAGTGAGTTTGAAGCTAGCCTGGGATTCATGAGATCCTGTCTTAGAAAACAAAGATTGATTAGAGAAATATTTAGAATGTAAACATTTAGTGATTCTATGATAACTGAGGAATATGAGATGAGAGGCTTGGGATGTTGGGATGATAGTTGATACAGTGGACAAAGAGCACAGTTTAAAGAGAAGATGATGAATTGCTCTTGGACATGCCGAAGCCCTAAAAAAGATCATGGCTAAAGTGTTCAGAGTGGTGGGCTGGAGAAATGGCTTAGTGGTTAAGAGCACTTCTTGTTCTTCAGAGGACCCAGGTTTGACTCCTGGTACCCATATGATGACTCCCGACCATCTGTAACTCCAGTTCCAGGGCATCTGACCCCCTTTTCCATCCTCTGTGGGTACTAGGTACAGACGTGGTACATAGGCATATATGGAGGCAAAACATTCATACACATAAAATAATTTTAAAATGTTCAGGATGGAGAATAATGGGTCCTGAGGAGTATCAGAGTCAGCAACATGATGAGGAAGACAATCAAAAAACAAAAAGAACAGACAGGTGAGCTTTAAATAAAACTACCAAAGTCAGGGCTGGAGAGATGGCTCAGTGGCTAAGAGCACTGGTTTATCTTCTAGAAGACCCAGGTTCAATCACCAGGACACATATGGTAGCTCATACCTGTCTGTTACTGTAGTTCCAGGGCTTGACATCCTTACACAGACATATATGCAGACAAAACACCAATGAGCATAAAAATAGTTGTATTTAAAAAGAAAAGACAAACTGCCATAGGTGGTATTTTAGAAGTCAGTGTGAGTGCCAGATGAAACAGATGTTCCATGAATACTGAAGTTGTAAGGAAGTAAAGAAAAACAACCCTCTCTGTTAAAGCTCTTGTGTGCTCTGCCCCAGGGTCTGTTACCTCGAGGTGAGAAGCCCAACCCTTTAAGACAAAAGAATGCCAAGGTGAACCAGCTTCTCAAAGTTTCCTTGCCGAAGCTTGCAAATGTGCAGCTCCTGGATACAGATGGGGGCTTCGTGCACTCGGACGGTGCCATCTCCTGCCACGACATGTTTGATTTTCTTCATCTCACAGGGGGGGGCTATGCAAAGATCTGCAAACCCCTCCATGAACTGATCATGCAGTTGCTGGAGGAAACACCAGAGGAGAAGCAAACCACCATTGCTTGACTGGCCCCATCAGTGTTAACAGCATCCCAGCTTCCTCAGATCAGTTACACCACTGGCACTACAGAATCCTTTCTTAAGGCACTTTGCATTGTACGATGTTCCTGGATGCTTGTATCTAATGTTTGAAGGGGAGGAGGGAATTTAAATTGGTCCTGTATATAAAGGTTTATTTGGCACAGGAGAAAAATTAGCCAAGGAAAATTCATTTGAAACCAGAAGGGGATTTTTTAGTTGTATATGACACATTCGTCAAATTATCACTGTTCTTCCTAGGACAACATCAAGCACGAGTATTATATGAAGATTCTTGGCCCTTTTTTCTATGGATTATGTTCGTATGTGATAAGTATCACATCTACTTGGCTTTAAACTTATTTTTGGTCCAGTTTTAAGGTTCATGAGTTGGTGTGTTGTGTTGTTTTGTTTGATTCATGTATCCTCAGTATTTTTATTTTTATTAACATATAGCATCAGATTAAACATGCTTGTCTCTCAAATATGGAAGATGCTATAGTTACAAGTGAGTTTGTTCCTCTCATTCTAGCAGTGAAAACAAGTTCTGGGGACTGTGGGGTATTATTTGTATGCTGCTGAATATCATGTCTGTAATAGACCCATGCATGCAGCCTTTGCTCTGCTTTTCCTTCATCTCTTTGTAGGTGGATTATTTACATTGCAAGTGTTTAACTCATTTTTGATTAGGATTTGCATTGCTGTCGGGATGATCTTACTGATGTATAGCTCATTCTGGGTGGTGTTCTGTGATGTAGGGTCTGTGTAGTGTTACTCATCCCCACCCCTACCACCTGTTAATGGTTTCCTTTGTTTTGAGCGTTTGGGGTGGGGGTCAGAATTGTTTCCCATTCCATAATGCCTGATGTTATTTCAAGTTTTATATTATCTTAAGGTGTATATGTTTGTTTTCATTATATATATATATACATAGATAGTTATATATATATATATCTATATCTATATTTTACAGTACTGGAATCAAACCCAGGGCCTAGCACATACTAAGCAAATGCTCTGCCACTGAAGTAATCCCTAGTCTTGTTTGTTTTGTAATTGGCTTAATTCTTAAATTCTGTCAGTAAAAAAAATATTTGGCTTTGTCCATGAGAAACAGTGAAGCTGCTCTCAAAATATATGTGTTATCTTTTTTGGATGTTTTGAAGGCTTTTTTTTTTTTTTTTTCCTCTGTGTAGTCCTGGCTGTCCTGGCTGTCCTGGAACCCTCTTTGTTTACCAGTCTGGCCTCACACCCAGAGATCAGCCTGCTTCTGCCTCCCCCATGCTAGGATCAAAGGTATGTGCCACCGTGCCCCACTTTGGGTGTGCTGGCTTTAGTCCACCATTTTAGTAAAGATGAATTTGTTTTTTAGTTTTTGAGACAGGGTCTCATTGTATAGTTCTGGGTAGGGTGTAACTTACTATGTAGACTAGGCTGGCCTTGAACTCACAGAGATCTGCCTGCCCCGCCTCCTGAGAACTGAGATTAAAGGCATACACCACCATGCAGGTGGCTCATTTGACTTTTAAGGTTCCTCATACAATGCACGTTCATCGAGATTTCAGGAGAGCTATTTATAGTCATACTGGTTTGCTCTTGAGCTACACAAACTGCCACTTACTTAAGAGAACTACTGTCCAATATGCCTGTGGGCCCTGTACAAACTAGATCTACAAACATTTTAAACTGGATCAGGTTGGGGATTGAAGTAACCCATTATACGTGCTTAGTGGTTACATGCTGGAGCTGTGACCTAGGCTTTCTGTCCTGCTTTCAAAGCAGCTATCAGGGCTGTTAGAGGAGCTGCTGGTTTGTGCTGAGACCTGTACCCGACTGAGAAGGATAGAAGTTGGGATGGTGTTTCCCTGGAGAGTCTCTGTAGGAATTTATTTTAATGCATAGTCTTGTGATTGTATCATGTCTTCATTAGCAACAGGAAAATACACATGGTGTTTACTAAAATTGTTTACTACATTCAAATTCCCTTTTATTTTTCTTAGTAGCCCAAGTTCTTGAGTTTTTGAAGACATTGTTTTCTGAACTGAGGTATAATTTTAGGAAGGAGATCTAATTAAGCCTGAATTTTGTGTGTAAAAAGAGCATTTTTCTACCCAGATGTTTCTGTGTTCCTCGGAGAGTGGGAGTATGGTCCAAATGAATCCATTAGGTCACTCCTGCAGTATGCGCTTGTAGCTTCTCTTGCCCAAGGTTGAACTAGTCCTATGAGCTGGCCTTCAGCTTCTTCGTATGTGAATAAGCCACAGATGTTACTACATTTTATATCTACCAGAGCTATTCAAGCACCACTAGCCTTTTAAATAAAACTCTGCCCTATTGCTAACGTGCAGATACCGAGTCCACTGTCATTTCTTGCCAGGTTTTAGAGGGGGAAAGTGTTACCAGTTTTCTTTGGTTGACATTCCAGATTGCTTCAGTGACAGAACCAGTTAGTCTTTGTAAAATTTTTTTTTTTTTTTTAAGATGTGAACTGAATGCAGTATCCACATGAAATGTCCTAGTTTGTCATTGTGATTAAGGGGCCAGGCAGCCAGCACAGATAATGCTTTGTTCTCTTGTTTTGGTATGTGGGGTGGTGGTTTTCTTAGGCAGAGTCTACATGTACCGTGGCTGCTCTGGAGTTTTTGGTGATCCTCCTGTCTCTGACTCCCCAGCACTGGAATTACAGGCCTACTCCTCCATCCCTGGCTTGTTCTATTCCTTTTCCAATATTTTTCTTCCCTTTTAGACAGGGCCTCAATATAGTACAGCTTGGCTTTCAGCTTACCCTGTAGGTATTAGATGCCCTTGAACTCAGTCCTTCCAGGTGATAGGGGTTCATGATTCTAAAGTGGCAAAGGGATGATCTGTTGCAAGTGGTTTGATTGGCCTTGGTATTATAGATTACCTACAGTGCTCTGGCCACTGTCAGGTCTGTTAGGGCTTTTGAGGACCTTTATCTAATCCTGATTCTTCTGTCAAAATTCTTCACCTAGAAAAGTTTTGAGTAGCTCACCCTACCCATAAGAATTATAACTATCATTGTTAAAAAAAAAAAAAAATTCCCAAATTTCTGTTTGCATTTTTAACCTAACCACTTACTGTTGTGTTTTCAACGTATTTGCTAAAGCTGAGACCTGTCTGTGCTGAGGTGTACAAACATTGCCAGGGTTATATTATTACAGTGGTGATGAAACGAGATACTTACAGAAGGGAGTGTGGCCAGCTCCTGGCTCTTGAGTGGTATATGTGGGAGCAGTGAGTGGTGGCTTGCCTGTGGTCTTCCCCTCCAGGACCACTGCAGCAAGCTGACTGAACTTCCCCAGGCGGGCTTGTGACTATGTTTTGGTAAAGGCTTTCAGTGCTTATTTATTATAAAAGTCAGCATTTCACTCCAAACTTACTGATGTCTTTCTTTTATATTGTAGTTTAGATTCCAATGGAAAAAGCAGGGATGGGTTTTCTGTCTTATAAACAAAGTGGATTCTTTGCTCATCTTATGTTCCCTGGAACTGAATTACCAAATTGTCTCCGCCTCTCACAGGGTAGGATGGTAAGATGGTAGGGTAGGCGAGTAGTTATAAGTAACCCTGAGTAGATATATGAGAGGATGTTGTAGACTGGTCACAATCTCCCTGCCTGAAACTCAGAAATCTGCTTGCCATGCCTCTCACATGCTGAGATTAAAGGTGTCCCCTACCAAGCCAGGCATTACAGATAACTAATAAGCCATAAACTGACCTTTGACCCGGTTTGTAAGTTCAGTGTTTACAATTTATTCACAGAATGTCCCATGTGACATTGTCCATTCTTCTCACTGACAGTCACCATGATTTTAATTCTTGGAACAGTGCCTCCTGTTGCCTCTACCTTACATTCAGATGATTTGCTCTTCTGGGATCTTGTACCTTCTAGGGAGAAATGCTTCAGGATATTTCCTATCCCAGGTGTTTTGTGTGGGTATAGCCCAATATATCTGTTCATTAAAGGCCAGGGCTACACAGAGAAACCTTGTCTTGACAGACAATAAACAAACAAACAATAAAAGAGGCTTAGAAATTGAGTGTTATATCCTATCTAAGGTAATCCTGATTTAAATAGCTGGGCCCAGTTTCTGGGCAGTTTTCCTTGACCTCCTTGCAGTTGTGCTACCCATTGCTCTTGGTTCTGAGGAAATGAGGTCATCTTGGATCTAGTTGCCCTCAGGTGAATGTCCTAGGATTGAGCCATCTTCTCCTCTGGGCAAGGCAGCAGCTGCTTTAGACTTTATGCTGCTAGTGTCTCCCTTTCAGTCCTAGCTTTTGTGTGTGTTCACAGCATTCCATAGATTTACTTAAAGTGCATTGTCTGGCCATCTGACTTCCCACCCTCAACCAGCACTGGAATGAAATCATTGTGAAACAAGAATTTGTATTGATGTACCTGTGGGGTTGCAGAGGCTACTAGAGCTCTGTGTTAGCATATCAGTAAAGTCAGATTTATAGGAAGATACTACTTAGATAAATGAATTTAAAATGTAAAATAACAATTCCGTGCATAGCTAATTCTTTCAATATCCAGAAAGAGGATTTGTTTATGTGTCTTGTAGCTCAGGCTGTCTTGAAACCTATTGTGTAGCTGAGGATGATCTTGAACTCATCATCTTGCTTCTATTTTCCAAGTGCTGAGGTCACAGTGTTCACTACTACATCTAGCCAAAAAGATAGCTCCAAAGTAGGCAGTTTGCCTGCTTTCAATGCCATGGAGGAGGAGACCATAATTGCAGATGAAAACCTTAGACAAACTCTTACTCAGACCTTCAGAAAATATGACTGCCTCCTTTGACGTCCATCTTATAGATAAGATTAGAACAGTTTTTCAGATAGCTTCGTATGAATGTGTGCTGTAGACTGCTTTATCAGAACTGAGTGAGTGTCCTCAGACCCAGTGTGACACATCATGATGCCAGTACAGTAAGTACATGGACCTTGAACATAGCCTTACTTACCACCCCCATGCCCCAAGCTGAAATTGTTCCAAGCATCCTATGGAGCTATGAGACTAGACTACAGTACCTATCCTAACGATGCAGCACACCAGTAGTAGTTACCGCTGGAGCATATAGCTAAAAATTTCTATGGCATACTCATTATCACTCTACCACAGTGATGCTGCTGCATTGAAAAGCATGCTACAGATGATAAAAGGCAGAAATACTAAGTCAAGGTGGTTTTCTTCCAGGTACAGCTAGTATTAGGATAAAGCTTGTGGAGGGACCTTGGGCAGGCGACCTTGGCGGGTTCCATGGCGGGCAAGGATGACCCAGGCAGAGGGACAAACACGCCAGGCAGAGTTTAAGTGAGAAGTTTTATTAGAAAGGGGAGGAAGGGGGAAGGAAAGAAAAAGAGGTAAAGAGACACAGAGTGGACCGAAGAGAAAAGGGAGACAGGATAAGTCCTGTCTGTCCCATGGGAACAGCGGGAAAGAGCAGGAAGAGAGCTGGAAAAGAACAGAAAGCAGAGAGAGAGAGAGAGACAGACAGAGAGAGAGAGAGGAGCTGGAAAGAGTGCAAGTGGGCGGAGGTCTTTTTTTTAAAGGGGTCCTTTGCACCTGCCTGTAGACTAGTTCTCCTGGAACCCTGGGCTGACCAGGGTACTGCCTGAGTGGATTCTGCTAGGTGACGGGCAGGCCAGCATAATGCCTGAATCCTTACAGCTAGTACAACAATGTTCCTCTTCACCCAAGCTTAGAGCTCTTGCCATTGTCAGTTGCCTAAAAGTCTGTCCTAGATTAATTTTAGGTAAGGTTTCCCGATGTTGTGCAGGCTGGCCTTGAACTTGCCATCCTCTACCTCAGCCTGTCAAGTAGGTAGAAATACAGACTTGGGTCACTGAGCTCAGATTAATCACATATTTACATGGCCATTCTGAATCAAGGATCTTTAGTGTTTGGCTGAACAATGTTTCTCTTTGATGCCAATGTGATCTCATGTAGGCCTCTTGCCTTTACTTATTTTCTGGCTTATTTAAACTTAATTTATTTCTAAACACATTTTTTTTGTTTTTAGACAGGTTCTTGCTATCTAGCCCTGACTGGGTTCAAACTGACCACCTTGCCTCAGCTAAAGTGCTAAGATTACAGACATTCACCACTGTGCCTGGCTACGTGAACAAATTTTACACACTGAACAAGCTTTGACAGTACACTAGTGAAGAAGTCAAGTACAATAGCATATTTTGACAGCTACTGGCTCACAAAGTCAATTTCACAACTCTTCCATTCTTGTTTAAGCCTTCCCTTTGAGCCTTCATGCTAATACCATATAACTTAAATGTATGGCTGCTCCAAGATGAAACAGCTGTCTGGAATATATTCCTGTCCTTGCTGGCTACTTCATCTTTCACCCAGTAGGGACATGTGGAGTGTTTGCTGATTTCTCCTTTTTTCTAGCTCCAGTCTGTGCTAGGGCTCAAGTTTATATTCATATGATGTCCTCTATAAAACTGAGAAAAGGGTGGTTGTTTTTTTGTTGTTGTTCTTTGTTTTTTAAGCTACATACATTTTCTAGTGTGTGCACATGCCACAGTAACCCCTGGAGGTTGGAAGGCAGCTTATGGGAGTTGGTTCTCTCCTTACCGTGTGGGTTCTGGTTATGGGACTTAGGTCTTAAGGCTTGGCAAATCGCCTTTATCTGCTGAGCCATCTCCCAGGCCTACTTAAATACAGAAGGTACTTTTTAAGTCTCTCTCAGCTTAGTGACAAGTACAGGCCAGGCACTGAATAAATAGAGCAAATGAATGGGAATTCTTTCATTGTCTTCTGGGCTAGTTGCTCAGGATTCAGACAGGAGCACAAATCTTTACTTTTGTGCCCATTTCTTTGTGTGACACCATACAGCTTCTGTGAAACAAGAGATTATTTTTGCTATCCTCTACCTCAGAGAGGTAGAAATAGAAATTTGCTGCTAAGCCTGACCTCTTGAGTTCCATTCCCAGGATCCACATGGGAAGGAGAGGACTGACTCCTATAGGTTGACCTTTGGCACACCATGTCACAAATAAGCTCTCCCTCTTCAACACACTGATAAACATGATTTTTAAAGCAGACACTGGGCATGGTGGCTCATGCCTATAATTTCAACACTCAAAAATCAGCTTGGTGGCTTAATCCCAACACTTGAGAGGCAGAGTAGGTACATCTCTTGAGTTTGAAGCCAGTGTGATCTACATAGTGAGCTCCTGGATAGCTAGAACTACATAAAGAGACCCTACCTCAAAAATAAAATCTGACAGAAGGGTTTCCATGGTCTTGAGGCCAGCCTGAGCTATATAGTGAGTTCTGTGCCAGCCTGGGCTGTAGAATAGACCCTGC